CCGACGCTGAGTTAGCAGCCACCATTTGGTATCTCTTGTCCATGTTTCAAAAAATTCAGCGGTTTTTGATAGTGGAGAATGTGGGTTTGCAAGTGGGAAAGAAAGTAATAAAGAGATGAGTTGGAATTTTTTGAAACAATCTGATTGATCCAACTGTGCATTACTGTTCATTAGAATTTTTTTGTTGTTCTCCTTTAGTAATAAAGAAGTAGATTAGAATTTTTTGTTGTTCTCCTTAGTAATAAAGAAGTATGTATATTTTTGAAACAATCTGATTGGTCCAACTGTGCATTACTGTTCATTAGAATTTTTTGTTGTTCTCCTTTAGTAATAAAGAAGTAGATTAGAATTTTTTGTTGTTCTTCTTTAGTAATAAAGGAGAATTTTTTGTTGTTCTCCTTTAGTAATAAAGAAGTAGATTAGAATTTTTTGTTGTTCTCCTTTAGAATTTTTTGTTGTTCATTAGAATTTTTTGTTGTTCTCCTTTAGTAATAAAGAAGTAGATTAGAATTTTTTGTTGTTCTCCTTAGTAATAAAGAAGTATGTATGTATATATGGGTTGGAACAAGCTCAAGAGTTTGATATTGTTGCCTCTCTTAAAAATTATGTTTTGATTTGTTGCTTTGAATTCATTATATTTCACTTATATGATGATATTTATGTGTTTGAGCTTATGGATCATCTATTCGTGTCTTATAATGTATTCTATGATTGGTTTGATTAAGTTATACAAAGAAAATTTTCCTCTTTGATCAAACATTGTTTTTAGACTCAAATCTTGATTTATGACTTCATTTGAGTGATTTGTTTTCACTTGAAAACTTTTTTCATGGTTCTCATGTTTTCCTCATTCCTTTGTTTTCATAAATCTATTTTTATACACTATGTTTTTTATAATTGTGTAATGAGACACTTCTTTCATAAATGACATATTAATATTTGTTCTCATTGTCTTGTTTGTATGTGAGTTATGTTTAGCATATCTTTTATTTATGCTTACTCACATGTTTTTTACCTTAGCTTCATTTCATATATTCTATATGACATTTTGATAGGGGTAGCTATTCCCTATACTTGTTTTATACTCACTCATGCATATTGATAGGGGGAGCTTTCGCTCTCTTCATTCTTGTTGTTTTTTCCTTTTTGATGTTGTCAAAGGGGGAGAAATATTGTGAGTATACATTTCCTTGTTTAGATGCATGTGAATTACAATTTATATATTCATTTTCATTCATGCATATATCTTTTTTGTAAATTGTTTGTCATCATCAAAAAGCGGGAGATTGTTGGCCTTCTTGTTTTGATGATGATTTAACAAACAATTTACATCTAATATTGTTTGTCTAGTGTTTGTGTTTTGTTATTTATTATAGACAAACAATAAATTAGAGGATGGATGGAATTGTACTTCAACGATCATATCTAATGGAGGTTTGTGGAATTGTGGAGTGAAGCCTTACAATTCAAGTTGAAGATCCAAGTTCAAGCTTATTCCGCATTGTGTACCAAGTCAAGCTTATTGAAGATCAAGATCAAGCTTGGGGTAACATTAGTTTAGGTTTATATTATGTGTGTTGGTACTTTAAGCTCAATCATATATACACACATATCCATGTATATATAGTTTCATATATACATATATGTTTGGTTTCTATGTATATATATAGTTATATATATATATACATATATAGTTTTAGTTTTCATGTTCATAAATATGAAATCACATATTTCATATTTATTATTGTGTTTTAGAAAATACTGCATAGAATATACATATTTGTGAAAATATTATGTTTCTAGTTTATAGACTTCATAACAATAGTTTACATCTTTCTTTAAGTCTACAAAATCATTTTGTAAAGTTTCAAAACATGGTTTAGCCAAAATATCAAAATTCATATGTTTACATTTTCATGTTTTGGACTATTTTGCAAAATAATAATATTTTACATTTGGGAAGTCCTTTTTGAAAACCAGTTTTTGTAACATGTTTATTATCATGTTTACAATCATTTTCCAAAGCTTTATATTTTTTTAGAATTTATTTGATATTTTTAAACCCAGTTTAAAGTTAAGTTTTTCTGTGCACCTCAGGTCTGTGCATGTTTAGTCGACTCATTAGTCGACTCACGAAGTGCAGCGCAGTTATGATTTTTCTTCTGTTGAGTCGACTCATATAAGCCGACTCATTAGTCAACTCATAAGTCGACTCATGAGTCGACTCATAAGTCGACTTATGAAAGAGCCATTGCACAGTAACGGCTAGTTTCCAGGAGTGTTTTCTGGGCTTTTTTGTCTTTTCAATTGGGTTTTAGCTGAGGTTTTTGGTGGCTATATATACCCCTTGCTCTCATCCTTCATATCTAACTAAGAGAATGTTTTAAGAAAGTTTAACAATGGTTTAAAGTTTTTTTGAGTTTGTTTAAAGGTGTTTAAGCCTTGTTTAAGAGTTTCGTTTGTGAAGATAATTTCACAAGGGCTTGAGGAGATAATCTTTGGTGTTTGAGCTTCAAATCATCTCTCTCTCACACTTGTCACTTTTTGGAGAAGTTTTTTAAACTCAATCTAGCTTTACATTTTATTGTTTGATTATTATTTTATTAAGCTAGTGTTTATATTGAGTTAAGTTAATTTTATTTATCTCTTTGTACACACACAACCATTGAGCTTATTGTATTTTCATACTTAGTATAATTTGGGTTGTGGGATTGTGTGACTTAGAATGTGAGCTTACATTATGTTCTCATCCACTGTAGAGACCAAATTTATTTGTATTTGTGTCTATTTGTGAGGATCACTTTGTAATACACTTGTACACCAAGAGGAGTGTGTGGTGAGGACGGAGTCGATACCGAGAGAAGTGGCGTTGATGGCCTAGTGAGAGGTGATAATTCCGAGCACTTGAGGGAGTCGATACGTGAGGACCAACACTTGAGGTTGTAGCTTGTGTATGTACTTTGTGAGGATTTGTGAGAGTTGTCGGTTGACTTGATAACCGAGTGTGTAGAGTTTTCGGTTAGCTAGAAAACCGAGTTTCCGGCTTCCAAACCGGGTTGTGTAGTGGATTCTCCCCGGAAGTGGGGAACGGAGACGTAGGACGGAAGGTCCGAACTCCGTGATCATTTCCTTGTGTTTGGGTTTGGCATTAGCGTATTTATTCTTACATATTGTTATATCGCCATTGTTGCATGATCATATTGTCTACCCTTGTTTATATTGTATATCCTTGCACATATCTTGTAGCATATCATACTTGCTAGGATATATTTGTGCACATATCTTGTAGCATATCATACTTGCTAGGATATATTTGTTAATTAGTTTTAATTGGTATAAAATCGGATTAGATTAGCATAATACCTTATTCAACCCCCCCCCCCCCCCCCTCCTTCTAGGGTTCTTTCATAGCGACCTTAGGGTCCAACAGTGACTACTCGGCTCCTCCACTGATTGTTACTGTCAACTCCTTACCTTTGACCCCAGGAGAAAAAATGGACCTCTCACCTAGGTCTTTTCAGCAAAATGACAACCTGAAGAATGGGTGCTAAGTCTTAA